ACGTGGGCGCGCGGCAATGCGCATCCTTTCATGTGCATCTTTGTTCGCGGAAATCGATGAGGAGGGGAGCGCGGGGAAAGAAGCGGATCAATGGCGACCGCCAGCCGGAAGCCTCCCAAGTGCGTTATTATGGCACACATCAGAGGAGAGGTTCTGACTCCGCGGGTCAGAAGGCAAACGAAGGCAGATGAATGGATCCCAGCTCGGGATCTGGCCCTCCTTTGTCTCTGTTGCACCAGGGTGGAACTGCAGGGTTTTTTTGTTTTGTTTGTTTTTTTTAAACCACACATCTGAGGGGGGCTTGGAGGGCAGAAATCAGAAAAATGCTCCCCCCCCACTTCCGTTCTCGGCTTGCTGAGCCGGGTCTGGTGCTCGGCTACGTCTTTCCCGGCATCGGAGTGAGCTGGAACTTCCCGGCGACCCCGAGGGGTTTGCTGCGGTGAAAGGTCCCCCCGCGTTTTGTTTGTGTGTTTGTTTGAATAGACATCTCGGTGCAAGACGTGGACCAGGCTCAACCAGGCATCTCTTCCTGGCAGATAGACTCCTGCGCTGATCCTCATAAATCACTTGTAAACAGAGGCCCTGCAGAACAAAGGACAGAAACATTTCATTGCCCTAACGCAGAATCTCCCTTTTAAAAAAGAGAGAGAGAGGAGGCTTAATGCGAAGTCCCCGGTTCCAATCTTCACGGGTCTTGCTTGACCTATAAAACAGGTTATTACATTACTGCAGGCACCGCTCAGATGCCTGGCAGCAAGGAGGGTTGCTTGGCTTTCCCCCCTTGACTTTCCCGAAGCAATAGATATACTTTCTGTAATCCACAACCCAGCAACCTAAAGTCTGTCAGACGCGAAATTGAGTGGTAGAAATATTTAATCCATACCACATGTGCGATGCACGTTTATGATATATTCCTGCCTCGACGCTGCCAGATCTGAAATGTGCAACGTCTGGAGGCCTGAAATGTCTATACAAAGGACTGGGGCAACTCGGGGTAATTTATTGGGAAGCTGGAGAGAAGTGAAAGCGAGGAAAAAAAAAGTCTGGCTGGGCTTTCTGTGCTGACAGGTTGGGGTGCGTGCGTGCGTGTGGAAGGAAACTCGGGTACCTCTTGCAGGAGAAGCCACCCCCATCTGGAGAAAGTGCGGGGGGGGGGTGGCGGAGGGAGGTACCTGGTGGGTACCCGGGACAGGCGAGGACTCTTTGTCTGGCCCAGGGGAGCCCAGCAGAAGCACAACCCTATGGTCGGTGCGTGTCGGGGTGGGGGCAGCTGAGCAAGCTTTTCTTCCTGCCGGCGCTGGGCGGAGAGATCTGGTGTCCAGCTGGCCCGGCTGGGGCTGCGTGTGTGCTGCGCTCAGTCCCCGAGGGCGAGCCCGGCAGCAGGGTGGATCTGTGGGTGGGAGAGCTCCAGGGTGGATGCGCCGCCAGATCAAGGGCAGCAGGGGCTGTGGCTTGCTCTCTGTGCGTGTGTGTGTGTCTAAGGCCCTGCGGCTCAGCCCTGGAGCCGCTCGGCACCCGCAGGAATGCAGCTCCTCTCGGCTCCCCGGGCTGCCCCAGCTCCACATGGAAGTGGCCGCCAGGAAAGTGGGGGGAGGGGGAAGCAGGAATCCGCCGAGCAGGAACTGAGCGTCAGACAAAGGACAGTTCATGCGATCGCTGCCGGGAGAGGCCGGGATGGAGTGGCACCAGGGCGCGGGGCTGGCTCCGGGCGCGGACAGACGGCCCGGGCGGCCGCGGGGCGGGGCGGGGCGG